CGGCATGTTTCTGGTTTTCTGCTAATAAATGGCAGTAATTGTTGCACGATTAAACTGTTTATGACGAGAAGTACCAAAATTAGCAAGGCCGACTCTATCTTACCTCGCTTACTTCGCTGTAACGTTTACCTCGCTGCATCGAGCCAAATTATCTCGAATTAAAACAACTTGTGATGTTCATGAACACGGAAAAATCGGCGCTTAACGGGTTGTATGGAAAAAAAACCCCGGGACGACAGCGCATTTTACAAATGACTGGAAGCTCTGACGTCTCAACTCCGCGATAATTGAAGGCAACAAATTTCATAGGCTCTGGAGTCTTCAAATCGCGGTTGGTAACCGAAGTTTTATTGTGGATATTGGTACTTAAAACTTTCCTTTTTCAACCATATTAGTCACTGCATGCATGAATCCAGTTAGGAGCCACTTTTGAGAAATTTAAACTCGAATTTGATATGTGTACAAAGCCGTATTTGGACTTGGTGCTTGTTATCGCCAAAGTTTGCCATGATAGTTTTGTAAAAGCATCATAAAACCAGGGATTAAGTTTCAAAGTAGAATAACTTTCACGTTCGTGGGCGAAAAAATCATAAAATTTGGTTGAACACTTTTAAAATTATATGTATTTTCATTCGGCTAATTTTTATGCCTACTTAGACAGAGGATTTTCTGCGCGACGGCGCGGGACCGAAAAATCGCTGAAACTTTAAAAATAAATAAAATATCAAAATTCCAAACAGTGTTTGTTTATCACTCTTGTGATAAATACATTTCATTATGAAAGTGACGAAGAATTTCATTTTTTGAGCCTAGAGCCATTGGTCGGTTCTTAGAGATATAGCCTCTAAATTCATTTCCAATCGTGCATTGACACTAATTGCCGGGTTTTCCCCGAGTAGCTAATTTTAATACGAAAGCGTACCGCGTTTACCTCGCTGCATATAGTCCAGCGGATATGCACAGATATTTGAGAAAATCATGCACTTTGTGAAGAAAGCAACAAATTCACAGGAAGTGTAGACTTTAACATGATAATGAATCTTAGATATGGAGGCATCACCAAAATTGATGCTGACGGCTTAAAATTTAGGATTTCGGCTTATATTCTCTTATTAATCTCTTATACAATTAAAAATTGTGAAATTGCAGGTTCACATATAGCAAAAATGACATGCGGCATTAGAAAGCTTACAAAAAATGGCATATAAGACATTTAAGCAGTTACTTTGATTTTCCAACTCCTTTGGAGTTATGAGCGGTTGAAAATATGTTTTAGGGCTAGTGTCCAGGATTTTGGCGGGAATTTTGCCTATTTATCACGTTTTTAAATAGCAATAACTGGAAAACCGCTTGGAAAATCAATCAGCCGTTTAAAAGTCTTATATGTAGTTTTTTGTAAGCTTTCTAAGCATGCAAGTCATTTTTGCTATATGTGAACCTGCAATTTCACAATTTTAAACAGTAATAGAGTTTAATAAGAGAATATAAGAAATCCTAAATTTTAAGCAGTCAGCATCAATTTTGGTGATGCCTCCATATCTAAGATTCATTATCATGTTAAAGTCTACACTTCCTGTGAATTGGGTGCTTTCTTCACAAAGTGCATGATTTTTTACTTTTCCGCTGGATTAATAGATCGAAATCTTTTTTAATTATAAATCCACTTGTGATGTTCATGAACACAGAAAAATCGCTTAACTACGATGGCTTGTGTAAAAAAAAACCGGAACAACAACGCATTTTACAAGTGACTGGAAGCTCTGACGTCTCAACTCCGCTATAATTGAAGCTAAACAAAATAGCCAAATTGTATCAAATTTCAGAGGCTGTCGAGTCTTCAAATCGCGGTTGGTAACAAGTTTTATTATGGATGTTTGTACTTCAAACTTCCATTTTTTTAACCTTATTAGTCACTGAATCCTGTTAGGTGCCACTTTTGAGAAATTTAAAGTCGAATTTGACAAGCGTACAAAGTCGTATTTAGAACCGGTGCTTGTTATCGCTAAAGTTTGCCAAAATCGTTCTGCAAAAGCATCATAAAACAAGACAAGTTTCAAAGTAGAATAATTTTCACGTTGGTGGGTGAAAAAATCATAAAATTTGGTTGAATACTTTTAAAATTATATGTATTTAAATTCGGCTAATTTTTATGCCTGATATAGACAGAGGATTTTCTGCGCGACGGCGCGGGACCGAAAACTTGCTGAAATTTTAAAAATTAATAAAAATTCAAAATTCTAAATAGTGTTTGTTTGTTCTTGGGGTAAATACATTTCATTGTAAAAGTAACAAAGAATTTCATTTTTTGAGCCGAGAGTCATTGGTCGGTTCTTAGAGAGACAACCTCTTAAGGTTTCTCAATTCCAAGGCAATTATACATTTTGAATAAATATTTGAAGGCCTTTATTTATTAATCTTTACGTTTAGGTGGTCATTTGGTATTTTACTTTGGGAAATCGTCTCGTTGGGTGAGTAATTTTAGCCTTTCTTTTATTGTTTCTCGAAAATGTTGGTGCTTATCTACAAACGAATTCATAGACATACAAGCTGGGGAAGAGGGATAGCGGCAGTTCTCCGTCCCGGAAAATTTCAAGTTGGGCAGATTGTAGACATAATTGGGAAAATTTTAAACTTAATTTGGGTAAAAAGATGGGGGCGGGGATTGAAAAGCAAGAAATACAATGCACGATAATGATCAAAAAAGCAAGAAATATATGCCTTAAAATGTTAAGCTCCCGCCTCCCCCCAAATTTTTGAAGTTTAGCAGGGAAACAGTTTTTGATTGGTCGGGCAAAATGCGACAAAGTCTGCAAATTTCTTTCTGCCCCACTATTTTTTTTCCTCGCGTACACCTATGCAGGAAATGTATCACCACTTTGTATTTATTGTTTGAAACGTGTCAGTTTGGGTATGAATTTCATTCAATACGATACAATGTGTTTATTGCCATAACTAGTATTACTTGTAAAATATATTCCTTTCAGGTGGGACTCCTTAATTGTAAAATATATTCCTTTCAGGTGAGACTCCTTACCCAGGCATGTATTTTAATGACGTACATCAATACCTATTGGATGGAAAGCGAATGGAACCACCTATTCATTGTCCTGAGGATATGTGAGTACTAGTAGCAAATGTGATTAATTTATATCACAACGAAATTAAAGGCCGATTTGCAAAATTGTTGTCATTCTTTTTTCTTCCGAAAATAATTTCAACCGAGGTAATTCACTGCTGTCTTATACAGTGTGCTTCAAGACTAACAGTTCATTAACAAAGTATAAATATAATACCATACAGGCCCATATATCAATGTACCTTTTCGAGAAAATAAGTTCTAGAAATACAGGAGAAGTCTGACTTGCCTCGTTTTAGTGCTTTTTAAACATTCCAAAGGGCTATAATTTCGCTTGCATGCATGGATTATTTTCAATCTTAAACTCCTACTCTTTGCCTCCGTTGAAAGATTGTTTATTGTATAGACTGGTAATGTGTAAACTACAAAATAATGAAAATAATTTGGCCGGGTAGCTAATTTTCGAATCGTTCAATAAATTAACTGTTCATGAAGTAGGAGACAATTTGTCTCAATATTCGAGCAACATGCAGGTATCCAAAAATAAATGATAAAAAACCCAGAATGGAATAGATCTACACCACCTATAGTAACATCGTAACTCAACATACATACATACAATTTTATTAGTTATCCCAATTAGTTAACTGTAAGTTAACTAATTTACAGTAACTATTATAAAAATATTACTAATATGTTTTATTTACAGGAAAATATTTGTAACTTAAAAATTTAACTTACATCCTAAATCATAAAATATATTTAATGTCAATTTGTGTCTAAGAAAATTTCTAATAGCTGTTTCTTAAGGCAATTTTTAAACACTTTGGCCGACTTAACCTGTTTAAGTGAGGGGCAGAGGTAGTTCCATATAACCGATGCTCTGTAAGCAAACGAATTTTGTCCGGTAGCAGTTCTACATTTAGGAATTTGAATATCATTTGATTGTCTTGTAGTTCTCCCACTTATTGATAATCTACTACGCAAATGCCGTGTTAGATAGGTAGGGGCAGTTCCTTTTATGCACTTGAAGGTCATAAGTGCATCGCATAAGTAAAGTTCTTTCGATACCGGAAGCCATTTTAGTTCCTTCAGACATGGGGTGATGTGATCATACTTCTGTATTCCAGTGACGATTCGCGGGGCGTAATTTTGAACATATTGCATCTTCTTCTTGATGTTGCTCTGCGAGGTTGATGCCCATACAGAAGAACAATAATATAATTTGCTATAAAAACTAGACTTTTAATAACTTTTACTAACAATTCACAAGTAAGAAGATGCCGTACTCTATTTATCCGTGACAACATGTTCATAGTACAGGACAAAACGGCGTTAGTAACATGTTTGTCGTAAGTAATACGCGACTCCCATGTCATACCAAGATCCTTTGCGTTTATGTCTAGTTTTAACTCCTTATCCATCAGGGTATAAATGTTACATTGGGTAAACTGGACAGCAGCTGGGGTAGACCATGATCCGAAGACCATGATCTTTGTTTTGTCTGAATTTATAAGAAGATAATTTGAGCAGCACCATTCAAACAACGAATGAAGATCACTGTTAACTTTGTCTACTGCGTCATCCAGTTCGTTCAAATGAAATGCTGAAAATAATTTTGAATCGTCTACATAGCATTCTGTGTTACAATGTTTACCTGCTGTACGTAAGTCATTTATATAGAGATTGAAGGGTAGGGGACCGAAAATTGACCCCCCGGGAAACACCGTGCTTTACAAATAGGCTATTTGAGAGGGTCGAACCAATGCGTACAAACAGTTGCCTTCCGTTCAAATAGCTTCTGAACCAATTAACTGCTGATGATGATGCACCAATATTTTCTAATTTTCAATGAGTATATTATGGTCTGTGCTATCGAAAGCCTTATTTAAGTCCACTAGTACAAGAACTGTGATTTGCTTACGATCCATCGTATTAAGAACGAAATCGCTGACAAGTATGTTCAGGGTTTCTGTGGAATGATTTGATTTGTTTCCACTCTGGTGTCCTGTAAGGAGATCCTTTTCCTTCAAATAATCTGTAAACAGTTCTAGAGCTATTCTCTCACAAATTTTACCAGCATACTGTATAAACGATATTGGGCGGTTATTTCCGGCTAATTAATGATCACCCTCCTTAACGTTTGGAATAACTTCGGCTAACTTCCAGTTTTCTGGGAATGTACATGTTTTTAAAGGATTGATTTATGATATTTGTTAGCGGCATTGAAATATTATAGCCAGACAATCTTTCAGGATTTTAACTGGGATCTTATCGGCACCAGGAGTCCATCGGCACCTTATCGATATATTTGGAGGAGAAACAGCTGGCATCATAACAGCGTTAAAGCCCGAAGATAACTCTTTTACGGTTTGTACCGTTCTTTGACCCACCGAGGTGAAGTATTCATTCAAATCGTTGGCAACAGTCACAAAATCTTTGGTGTATATATTGTAGCGTGGGCGTCAGCCGCTCGGGATGTGGGAGCATTTGGGCAATACCACGGATGAGTTTCCATAATTGATTAGGTTTACTTTTACATTCTTCAACTTTCCTGTGGACGAAATTTATTTAAGATTTGTAACCCTAGCTCGCGTTAATAACTGGTCACGTAATTTCATTTCTTCCATGAGTGCCAGTGTGATGCAGGGGTTGCCCTTGTGTTTGAAATTCATTTCCTTTGTGGGGGCATTGCTTTCAACAACTTGGCCAAAAGAATTGAAAAGTTTGGCTTCATCATCTAAATCATCAACATCACCTATACTGTCCCAACAGATTTTTGAAACATCCATATTGAAATCTGTAGGGTTATAGAGCGTCTAGTTTTAGTATTGAGGGCTTTAGTTTGTTGCTTCTTTACATTTAATGTAACATTTACTGGAAAGTGATCGCTCATGGCAGTACAAATAACATTGCTTTGGATAACAAAATTTGGTGATTTAGTTGCCATTACATCTAGCAGAGTACTTGAATTAACCGTTACCCTTGTGGGTTGTGAAACCACTTGTGTCAAATTTAAGGATGTACCAAAATTCTTCGAAAGCGGTGGATTGAGGTTGTTAGATTATAAATTATAGTTTAAATCGCCGGCAATGAAAATTTCCTTATCGTAAGACATGGAATCAGTTAATGACGGTGCTAGGACATTTAGGAAACAATTTAACTGAGTATCAGGTGGACGGTACGCGACACACACAATAATTGATTTTAATTTTGCATGCTGTATCTTCATCCAGAGTTGGTGGAAACCGCAGTCTGATATATTTGAAATTTGAGTGAGAACCTCAGCTTTTAGGTTCGTGCTCAGATAAGCACACACCACAGCCTTTTTTTGTATCGATGATCGAGTCTGAACACTTTATACCCTGCTATTTTTAGTTCTTTGTTCGTCACCGACGAAATAAACCAAGTTTTAGAAACAGTAAGAATTTCAATGTCATTTTGAAGTACAAAATTTTCAACTTGAGTAAATGTTGTTCTGCTTTTCAGAGATTTAGCATTAAGATGTGAAAGTGTAAGTCTTTTTGGAAAGGACGTCGTGCATGACTGTTTGTAGTGGTTGAGTTTGAATACTAATACAATTTAAAATATCGCTAAAACACTCGAGATGGGATTTTTCCCTACTTCTATTGGTGATTATGACTGGAATTATATTGTTTTGCTCGTTCTTGGAAATACCAATGGGGTCTCCATCAGTGGATTTAGCGGAGGGAGGGGTTCTAATATTAACTGGCTGTCGATGGTATTGTTGATCCCAGGTTGCCCTGTGATCAAATTCCAAATACTCCCGCAAGTCCTTTGTACGGCGAAATCCTCGAATCGGAGGTGTTCTGGTTTGATAACGACGCCGAAAAAAGGGAAATTATTTTTATTACTTCTATTCACACGGCCTTTCCAACCTGCTCTGGGTGATTTATAATTGTTATTAATATTTTTTCCTCTTCTATCATTTATACAAGCGGCGTTGTTGATGTGATTTTTACGTGGTTTGGGTGAGTTGATGAGGGGTAGGCTGCCTACCATTTAAAATTACGAGTGTTTATTTTCTTAGGATGAATTAATGATTTGGGGTTTGTGAGTGGAACTCGAGTTCGATTAACTGAGCTAACATCATTATCCACATTAGTCATCTCATTACTATGCTTTTTGTGACCAACTTGTTGAACAGTGCCAGTGGGATGTAATCTATCTGAAGGGTCATTAACACTTGTAAACTCAGGTGCAACTAGTTTTTTTCTGTCAAGATATGATATATAGTCTGTCAAAATATGATGGTCAGGAAGCTCAGCAAACTTCAAAGCTAGAAAATAGAAGGCTTTTGTTTGATGATGATATGTATCTCACCGTGCAAAAATCCTATGTCTCTACTTCATTAAATTCACCGTGGCTGCTCGTTTCATATCAGCTATTCTTATTTGACGGATAGACTATCACATCGGACATGAGGGTAGCTTTACTTAGAGACGACTTCTATTCGTTTGTCGAATGGTTTCGTATAAACTTAATTTAATCATACAAGCATTTCACAGCCTTTCCCTTAGCAATAACTTGCAGTTCCAGACGTTGCTGGAAATTATATTATTTACATGCAGGATTGATTGGAAAACTGACTCGCAAGATAGGAAGCATTGCGCAGGTCCAAGTAAAGCTGTAAAACTAAATTAAAAATAATGTTAAATTGCAAGGAAACTGCAGAATATGCATGGTCGTGCACGATAGGGTAATTCGGCAAACTGTTTATTGTAATAATTAAAACTGGCATAATGAGCGTTAAATGTTCATCTATGTTTCGTGAAAACAGTCTTAGATGCGAAACTTTGTCTTAATATTATCCAGACTAGGGGGCGGCGATGATTTTAAAATTTATTATCACCTAAACCAGTATATAGGTATGGTTCTGAAATTTTACATTATTTCCCCCAAAACTGCACTGCACTGCACTGCACTGCACTGCACTGCACTGCACTGCACTGCACTGCACTGCACTGCACTGCACTGCACTGCACTGCACTGCACTGC